GAAATACGGTATATCTTACAAATTGTAATATTTTTTTTTTTTTAAAAAAAAAAAGGGTACATGAAGAAGTACATATTGGCTATGAAATAAAATAAATTCATAATAAAAAGCTTTAATAAGCTTAAAAAGATGTGTGTGTATGTGCGTTTTGATTTAATGAATTGAATGAAATAAAAAAAAAATAGAGAAAAAAAAACATAATTTAATTAAGTTTTTATAATAAAAGAGACTTATTATTTGGAAAAATTAAAACTATTTGAAAAACTTGACTACCAACTAGCAGTAGTATTAAAAATGTATTGGTGTGTATGTAAAAAAATTTACAAATGGAATGATTTAATCACCCATTAATAATAATAATAATTAAAAATGTCTTTGTCTATATATTCACAATATTATATGTTGTATTTCTTCTATCTTAAATTCATAAACAGTATAATCAATCATCGAGTATTTCAGTCATTTGTTAGGAGAATCTCTTTCAACATCTGAAGCACCAGGAGTTAACATTGATGAATTATTATTATTATTATTATCAGGTATAGTGAGATTGGGTGATCTAGATGCTGTTGGTTGCTGCTGCTGTTGTTGTTCAGCTTGTTGCATGACAGATAAAGCACGCTTCCTTGTAATTTTGGCAAAGTCTAACATATATTAGAGGATAATTTAAAGTTAGAAAAGTTCAGAAGCACGCTAGACGTGAGAAAAAATATTTTTTACTTACGAAGACCACAAGCATTACAAAGTGTTCTAGCACCATCAGGGCCACGACGCCATTCAGGAGTTTCAGATATATTACAAGAATGACACCTTCCGGGAGGCGCAGCACGTTTCTGGTTAAAAAAAAAAAAATAATAATTGACGGATTAAAATAAGCTTAATTAAAAATAAAAATTGCAACCAAACACCTTTTTAAATTAAAACTTACACTCCGCTTTCTGTATTTTGTTCGAGTAGATGCACCTAGGGTTCTTTGTTTTCGAATCAGATCGATTTCATCTTGATTTGTCTAAAATAAAAAAAAATGGGTAAAATTTTCAATTATACAGTTACAGCATAGTTAAATTGGTATAGAATAAGCATCATACCTCAGCTGAAGGTGGTCTAGTTAATTCACTTTTTAAACTTGATAAAATATTCAACACATCATAAGCTCTGTTTACAATACCCGTTAAATGGGAATCATTAACTTGAGGAACAAGAGAACCATTCCATGAATTATAATTCATTCTCATATCACGGTATTGTGAAGCAAAATGTGCGATCTGATTACAATGATCAACAACTTTTCCCATTTTAGCAAGTGATTGTTCGGTAGTTTGTTGAATATAAGGTGTATCACTATCTTCACCATTAATATTATTTCCACTGGAAGTATAATTAAGTGAAGTAGCATATGGAGGAGGATATTCTGAAGTCATAGAAGTATTAACGGATGGATGAGAATAATTATTATGTCTTTGCTGCTGTGATTGAGGATTATATGGATATTGTGATTGTTGTGTTGGATGTGGTGGTTGTGGTTGATAAGATTGACGATAATATGAAGGATATGAAGTAGTAGTAGAAAGTGATGGAGTAGTATCATTTGGCGAATGTGACATAGATGGAGATAGTAAATATGAAGATGAAGACGTAGATGAAGAAGGACTTGATCTATGTGCCATTGATTGAGAAATTGACTCAGGTGGTTGCAAATAATTTATTCGTAAAGGGGGACTTTGAGGAGTTGATGATGATTGATGATATAAATTGTGATTAGCCACAGTATCAGATGATGAATCATGATTTGATTTAGGAGCTATTATTGATGGTGGTAAGGGATTAGGATTAATCTCATGTAGGGGAGGTACAGGTGAATGTAAAATAGAAGTAATAGGAGGGAGAGGAGATCCCTTTTTCTCATTTACCATATCCATCAATCTAGAAAAAAAGGAAAAAGGATCAATAAAAATTCCTTTTAAAGGTAAGACAATTACAATTTAAAAACTGGTTAACGTTAAAATTATAATTTTTAAGATCCATAATTCATTCATTTAATGATTTGATTTGGAAACCCCCTTCTAATTTGACGATATAAAGTTATAAACCTTCACACTTTGTTAAGACTAACGTTAAACAGGAATTTTAAATTGTAACGACCTTTTTAAAAAAAATAAAAAAAAAAAAAAATTTAAAATACATACGGAGGAGAAGGCAAACTTTGTTGTGCATGAGATACTAAAGAAGCAAACTCCGGAATTTTCCTCGGGGCGGTTTGGTTTGGAGGAGAAGAACACATTGACATAACGTCCATATTTACTGTAAGTTATGACTTTTTCAAAGGAAGAAATTATAATGTATGTATCTTTTTGTAAAAATATTTTTTTTTTTTTAAAAAAAAAACATATATATATATATATATTTCACCGGTTAAATGACTACTAAAACTAAATATATTTTAAAGAGAAAAATTTCAAAAGATTTGCTTTGAATATATATAAAGTTTGAAGAAGTAAGAAGAGAATAAATAAAATAATATATACATATACACTATATACGTATATAATAATATATTTATTTATTGTTATGATTTTTTTTTAAAAAAAAGAAGGAAAAAAAAAAATTGAGGAAAAAAAAGGGAAAAAAGCGCATATATATAATTTTATATAATATTTTATGTTGTATTGTGTAATGAATAAAGATGCGATTTTTTATTTGATTTCTGTAAGATCTAATAATTTGATTTTAGATAGTGTAGATTGAGTTTTGGCTTGTTGCATGCAAAGAAAATCATAATATAAAAGAAAAAAAAAGATAAATTAGGGAAAAAGGATACGGAAATTACATGTAACACTAAAAAAAAAATGAGGTATTTCCGCTTTTTCAAATATGTAACAGTTGTTCTAGACTCATCTCACAGTACAGTATATGTGTCATCTAATTAATATTGTAACGATTGATTATGTTATAATCGAAAAATAAGTATAATTTTCCTATGTTCCTATGATCCACTAATTTTGACATATCATGATCATTTCTTTATTTAATCCGAATGAATCACCAGATTAACCAAAAACCGATCGACCATCAAAAGAATCGAAAGTATATGAAATTCTTTAATATTATAAATAATTATAATTTATAAAATGATTTATGATAAATTTTTTTAAAATAATTCCAAGATAATAATAATAAAAAAAAAAAAAAAAAAA